GAATTTTAGGAATGTTTCCTTTAGATCTGTGAGGTTAATGGTATTTTAATTGAGATTGCATTGAATCTGTACAACAATTTTGGGAGTATGGCCATTTTTACAGTGTTGGTTCTTCCTACCCATGAGCAAGGAATATCTTTCCATTTTCTGATATCCTCTTCAATCTCTTTTTTCAGAGTACTGTAATTTTCACTGTATAGATCTTCTAGTTCTCTTGTTAGATTGATTCCTAAGTATTTCATCTTTTAGATGCTACTGTGAAAGGTATGTTTTCCCTAATTTCTGTCTCAGTCTGTTTGTTTTTGTGTACAGCAATGCCATTGATTTTGAGTGTTAACTTTGTATCAAAATGTGTTACTGAATTTGGTTATTAAATCTATAAGCCTTTTGGTGGAGTTTTTGGGGTCTTCTATGTAGAGTATCATGTCATCTGTGAATAATGATGATTTGACTTCTTCCTTTCCCAGCCTTATTCCTCTTATTTCTCTCCCTTGTCTAAAAGCTTAGCTAGTATTTCCAGAACTGTATTGAATAGGAGTGGTGACAGTGGACATCCTTGTCTTGTTCCTGATTTTAAAGTGAAAACTTTCAATTTTTGACCATTTAGTATAATGTTAGTCATTGGTTTGTCATAGATGGCTTTGATGAGATTGAGGTAAAGACCTCAGTTCCTTACACATGGGCTCTTTATAAAGTTGCCTGTGAGTCCTCGTGATGTGAACTGTCTTCCCCCTGCGTAAGTGATCCAAGAGAAAAATCAAGATAGAAACATAATAACTTTTGTAAACCAATCTCAAAAGGAACATACTATTATTCCTGCTTTATTGGTTACTCAGATCAACTTGGCATAATGTGGAGGAGACCTATATAGGATGTGAATACCATGACGTGTTCTTTGGAGATCATCTAGGAGGCTACTACATGTACTTTAATCAGAGAAAATGGGAGGCTTCAGATGTGGCTTAGTGATAGAGCATTTGCCTAGCATGCTTGAGGATCTTCATTCAGCTCCTAGCAACCTAGGTGGGGAAATGTCTTATCCTTCACTAATGTTCAGTACTACCTTGCTCTGTTGTTTTGATATGTAAAAACTTCCAGAATACCAAAGTCTCCTTCAACAATTAATCAAAGAACTGTACGTGTATAAGTTCCTTCTTTTTAACTTCTTGTACAGATTTCATGTTATAAATAGTATAATTTGTCCAGTGGTAAGATGCTCTTCATGCACATAGATGATAGTGAATAGTTTTCTTTTAGTGATGTGATTTCTTTTTTCCCCAACTATTGACAACAAATATATTGCCTTTAAAAAGGAGTTCTGGGGTAGGGATGCAACTTAGTGTTTGAACACTTGCATGGCCCTGTGTTTAATCCCAGCACTACCAGAACAAAACAAAACAAAGCAAGTAATAAACAAACAAAACCCAGATACATAGAATCCTCTGAGAATACAGCAGAGAGAACACAGAAAAATTTAAATGCTAAAACTATGCCTTTATGTTTATATGTAAACAATGATTTGGGCCAATTTTAATACTCTTCTTAAAGATTTGTCATTTGATGTAAAGAAAAATGCCTTGAAGTAGCCAAAGTGATACTGGGTTGTGATGAAGCTGAAATTTTAAAACATAACTGGCATGTTTTCTGGGGCTGCCAGGTTTTAAATGACATTGGCTAACCCCATTCTTTCATATGCATTAACATTGTGATTCAATAAAATAGTTAAGGCTGTTTTCCAGAATTGTGTCATAAGTTTAAGTCCAATGTTGTGTAACATTTTCTACTTTATATTTTTAAGACATAAAAATTGGCTAATTTTTAGGAGTATATACTATCCTCTTTCATTAAATACTTGGCAAAAACCATTATCACATTCTGTTTAACCAAATTAATGTTGGAATGTTGAGGCAATGAGGATCCCTAAGTTCAGGGCCTGCCTGAGCTATGTACATAGTGAAACCCTGTCTCAAAAACAAAAAACTTAGACCTAATTTTACCTGATTTTTTTTTTTTTTTTTTTGGTTTTGGTTTTTCTCCGGTACCAGGAACCGAACTCACGACCTTGCGCATGCCAGGCAGGCGCTTTTGCCGCTGAGCTAAATCCCCAGCCCCTTTACCTGATTTTTGCACTTGGTTATATTCAGTTATTTCCAAAAGTTGAATGCCATAGTTTTATGTGTGTCCACATGCTTACTGAGGGAACATAATATCATTTTCCTTACTTCTTGTTTCATAAGCAATTTAGAACCTTACATACTTCATTAGATTACTATAGATTAAATAAAGAGAAACTGATTTATTTTCTCACTTTAAAAGTACATACATGAATTAAACAATTTTGTGTGCTTTTTGAACCCTATAACTTAATTTTCTAAGTTTTCATAATATTCCTCAAGACACGTGTCAACATATTTCTTTCCAGGGCAGCATAGAAGTTAAACCTTTCTTAAAAGATACTAAATCAAATTTGACTGAGTAGCTTTGCTAATAAGGTTTCAGGGGTAGGTTGTTTTTGAGTTAAATGCCCTGAATCTACAGCTCAAATTTTTAAATGAAAAAACAGATTGTTAGTGAAGTGTTGGACAGGGAAGCCTTATTAAGACATTCATCTTCAGGAGATAAAACAGAGATGCTTATTTCCAGTACAAATTTAGTTTTTGATTTACTCATTGTCAAAATATACTAAATACATTGTTTGGATTAGTTAAGTACTAATTATAATAATTCAGTGCAGAAGCAAGAAAACAATACCTAAAGCCTTATGCTGTCAGAAATAAAATCAACATAAAAATACTATATTAGAAAATACAACATTTGAAAAAACACACACTGTTATTGTTTAGATCTAAAATGCCCCTCAAAAGTTTTACATTCAGAGGTAAGGTTTCTGGGAGGTGATTGAATCCTTGGGGCACTATTCTCATCAATGGAGTAATCCATTGATGAGTTTAGAGCTAACTGTGGTATTCAGTTAGAGGGAGGTGCAATGTGGTCAGAGGTGAGGCCTCGTCAGAAGAAGCTGGCAACTGGGGGCATGACCTGAAAGGGTGTATTCTTGTCTTGATTCCTTCCTTCTCTTTCTGCAGCTTTGCCACCAGGCTATGAGCAGTTTTCATTTGCCATGCCTTTTTGCTATCATGTTTCTGCCTTTGAGCTAGCAGATCATGGACTGAACCCACTGAAGCTGTGAGCCATAGTAATCTCCTTTAAGTTGCAGGTGTTGGCTACTTTGTCTCAGTGACAAGAAAGCTGACTGATACATACATTAAATTAGAAAAAAGTTCTGTAAGGGCAGTGCATTGGAAGTATGAGTTCAAAAAGAAAAAGGATAGAAGCAAATATTCTAAATGATAAGAAAGATTATATTCCTATATTTTAGAACTGAATTATGGTTTGGATATGTTTAAATGAGATTATAACAGTTGTATTTTAAAATTCCAATGTTTATAACATATTTGTTACTGGACCATTTACATTTACAAACACTCATGGTGAAAGTATTTAGTTACTGTATTAATATTGTATGAGAAGGACCGTAGTTATTTTGAAATTCTTTTAGTTGAATACCACATACACACACACACACACACACGCACATGTACACACACACACAAACTTCCCTAGAGGATGCCTATGTGAAAATATTTTCTGAGTTAATATTAAACAGCATTAAGAAAAGTCATGTTGTTTTGGTAGCTACTTAAGTATAAAGAAAATAAAATCAGAATTTCTTTCAGTGAAGGTACGGTTTTGATGTTTTTTCCCATTAACTTCTCTTTGGAGCCCTAAATGCATAGGAGAACATAGTCCTTCTGAATCTGAGTATCTGCTTCTTTAAGTAGAGAGGCTAGATAGTTGTTAATTTATTTTCTAAGTCATTCATTCAACAAATGTAGAGTACCTTCTGCATGCCAAGCATCCTGCTAATGTTGAGGTTATATTAGTGATGGGCAAGGACCATGTTCTAAAAGTCAGTTGTGAAAGAGATATTTGTTATAAAGTATCTTCTAGCTATATGTGGCCATTTAAAACTAAGTTACTTAAAATTAAGCAAAATTAAAAAGTCATCCCATTCCAGGTAGCAACACTTCAAAGATTCAGTTGCCACATGTAATTAGTAGTTACCATATTTGACAGTGCAGACATAGAAAACTTCCATAGAAGGTTGTAGTAGTTAGCACTGAGACTAATAATAGGAAATTGCAGTGTAGGGTAAGTGCTGTGACAGAGAAGTACAGGTTGCTAGGGGATAGCAGAAAATAAGCCTTTAGATATGGGTGAGCTTTCTGAAGGAAGGAATATCTATGGCAGGTTTTGAAGGATGAGTAAAAATCATATAGAGAAATTAAACTGGGAAATATATTTTAGGAATAGCCTGCACAAAAGCCTGGAAGTGAAAATAGAATAGTTTATTGGATATTCTGAGAGTTAGGGTATGACGAGATGAGGCCAGAGATGGAATAAGATATCAGATCACGTAGGGCTTAGTATAACATGTTCAGAAGTTTAGTTTTGACAGCTAATCTATTTGTTTTCCCTCACTGACAGCCACATTTTGGTTTGGTCAGTCAGAAACCTATAAGCCGTAAGTGATAAATTGGGCAAATGTCAAATTATTTGAACTTATCTTTACTCTTCCTAATGGTCGTGATACCAGTAAAGTTGCTTTTGTTGTTTTTTTGAGACAGGGTCTTGCTATGTAGTTCAGGCTGGCTTTGAACTCACTGTGTCAGCCAGGCTGGCCTTGAATTCATGGTAATCTTCCTGTCTCTCCTCTCTAGTGCTGGGATTACAGGCACCACACCTGGCACTTAAGTTACCATCTCTGAGCTATAATGCCACTAACATTCTCTTGATGTTCAATTATGAAATGTCATTCAGTATTTATGTTCCAGTTAGAAAATTTAAAATGACTCTTAAGAATAAATATCTATTTTTGCAGTGTGTGTACGCTATGTATGTGTGTGTGCATTTTCATTACTCTGCTGATTTTATTTTAGGGTGATGAAGAAACATTTGAAAATTACTACCGAAAACAAAGAAAGAAACAAGCAAGACTGGTTTTGCAGCCCCAGTCCAGTATGGTAAATATGTGAAAAATTTGGATTAGTTATATTGTTACTTTTTATCCACTTAGCTTACTTTAATTTCATCAGAGCATGTATCCCAGTTTATTCAGGTGTACATATTTATTGAACACCTACCATGTCTAATAATGGTAAGGTTACAACAATGAGCAAAACTGATTAGTCCCTTTTCTCATGAATTTACATTGTTAGGGAAGGTAGACAGTGAATTTATTTACTTATTTATTTATTTATTTATTTTGGTTTTTCTCCGGTACCGGGAACCGAACTCACGACCTTGCGCTTGCCAGGCAGGCGCTTTTGCCGCTGAGCTAAATCCCCAGCCCCGGTAGACGATGAATTTAAAAAAAAGATGAATACATATATAAAATGTCAGGGAGTTAACAATTAGTTCCTGACAATATGATAACCTATGTGCCTCAGTTGATTGTCCAACTGAAAAAAAAACCTCAAGATGCTGGATAGACATTTAGAAATTCTTTCTTAAGGCAGAAAAATTCTTTTTAAATGCACTAACTACCTAGCAGAAAAGTATAATTAGAACAAAAACCAGGTAAATAGAGAACTAATTTATATGTTAGTTGTGGTGATGGAATGTGACTAGATATGTTGATGAAAACTCAGAAATTGCACATGAAAAAGTGAATTTTAGGGGCTGGGGATTTAGCTCAGCGGCAAAAGCGCCTGCCTGGCAAGTGCAAGGTCATGAGTTCAGTTCCCAGTACCAGAGAAAAACCAAAAAAAAAAAAAAAAAAAAAAGTGAATTTTACTGTGTTTAATTTTATTTTTAAATTTTTTATTTTAAAGATAAAAGAACAAAAACATATTAACAAACACACAGACATAAACAAAAAAACACAAAAACAATACAGAATTTCAGACAAGATGATAGGAAATTAACAGTGTTGTATTACATATTGTTATCTTCAAATTGGTTACTCAGTTAAACAAATTTAGGCATGTAAGATTGATCAAACAATTAAACATTAACTGTTCCTTTCCATAAAGCAGTAGAAATTAGTGGTGCAGTTAGCTATCTTGTGTATACATATATGCATCCATCTTTCTTTCTTTCCTTTCTTTCCTTCCTTCTTTCTTTCTTTCTCTTTTTTTCTTTTTCTCTTTTTTCCTTTTTCTCTTTCTTTCTTTCTTTCTTTCTTTCTTTCTTTCTTTCTTTCTTTCTTTCTTTCTTTCTTTTTTTTTATAATTCCAGTTCTTTATTCAAACCTTCAAGATCTTCCAGATTCCAATTCTTTTTTTTTTTAATTTTAAAGAGTAAAAGAAGGGTAACATAATAATGGGGGGGGGCTTACCAAATTACAGACAAAGTGGTAGGAAATTATCAATGGTTAGTGTTTCACATATTGTTATCTACAAGATAGTTTCTCAGGAAAACAAATAGACAAATCATAGTGAGTTACAGACAAAAGAGGTAGGAGATTATCAATAGTTGTTGTACTATACTTTGGTATCTTCAAAGTGGCTTCTAAAGAAAAAAAATAGAGCTATACATGAGTGACTTGTTGAATAATCATTAACTATTCTCAATGGTTCTTGTAGGAAACACATAATGATAGACATGCATCCATTTACGAAATAGGATAGGAACAGTACAAACATTGCAGAGTTATGGATAGATTAGTAGGAAAATATCAATGGCTGCTGTAATACATGGTAGTATCTTCAAAGTGGTTTTTCAGGAAGACAGAGATACACAAGAAGGATCTAACAAGTAATTACAGCCTAAGGGTTGTCAAAAATCAAGTGAGCCATTTAGGGCAAAAGCCATTTTTTGTAGCGTTTTCTCTCCAGCCTCCCATCGCATTGGGACCCCACAACCAGTTAGTGTCCTCTCCCCAACTGTCAGCACAGGCAGCAGGAATCCTGCTGCAGACTTCTCCGGAGCTCCACCACAGCCTGTACTGTCAGGGGAATAATGGCTTCCAGGGAGTCTCCGCATGTATTGTGCAAGGTCCTCCTGGTTTACAGCTTCCGTGCGGCTCTCATGACCCCAGTCCATAAGACCTCTGACTCCTCGGGCTTAGTCTGCATTCTCATGTTCTCCGAGTCCTTGTTCAGCAGCTGCTCCTCTGCTGACTCTGGACCTTTCTGGTTCTCAATGGCAGAAGCAAGAGTGGCCTATTTTATGGCACGTATTCCCAGGGGTTTCTCCATGTTTGAATGGTTCACACACGTCTGTGGGTGGGCCTCTGCAGCCAGTGCATGGTGGGCCAATTGTGTCATTGTTTCTCTGTGTCATGGTAGTTCTCAATTGAGAGGCTGCAGCCAGCCTGAGGGCTGGTGCACAACAGCGCTCACTTCCGCCTGGCTCCCCCTGCGCTGGGGTCCCTCCCTCCAGGCACCTGCAAGGCAGGAAGCAAGCGAGCCGGAAGACCGGTGCTCCCCACCACGTGGCTCCCCATGCGCTGGAGGCCCTCTGGGCACCTGCGAGGCAGGAAGCAAGCCAGCCAGAAGCTTGCTTTTCTTTCTTTTTCTTTCTTTCTTTCTTTCTTTCTTGCTTTCTTTCTTTCTTTCTTTCTTTCTTTCTTTCTTTCTTTCTTTCTTTCTTTCTTTCTTTTTCTTTCTTTCTTTCTTTCTCTCTCTCTCTCTCCCCCTCTCCCTCTCTCCCTCTCTCTCTCTCTCTCTCTCTCTCTCTCTCTCTTTCTTTCTTTCTTTCGTCTTTTCCCTTATCGCAGTTGTTCTTTCCTTTTGAGCAGTTTCTTTCCCTTTTACAATATCTACTATACCTTTTAGATTTTGTTTACTCTTTCAAGTTCGTACCGCATGTGTAAACACTGTATTGTATGTAGTTTTAACCTCAATGCATCAGACTCTAAAACAGTTGAGCAAAACATACATACCTAAATGAGGGCAGAAACCCAGGGAAGTTTCCTGTAGCTTTTATCCTAGGAGCAACTACTAAATAGTAAAGCATGAGTTTTGAGAACCTGTAGTGCCAGTGAGTAAGCTAAGAGCCCATTCAAAGTAGATATCCAATAAGACTGTCTCTCTTCTAAAGCAGAGACTCCAGTAGTTAGGATGACCTAGAGATAAAACTATCTAAAATCTTTCTATTCTCTCACAAGTATTGTAAAGAAAATTACCTTTCTCAAATTGTGCTCTGAGTGAATGGAAAGAAAAAGCCTAAGTATTCATAACCAGAAATTTGGTGTTAGCAACCGAAGTCCATTCTACTTGAATAACAACAAAAAAATCACGCTGAAAATTTAGTTTAAAGTGGTTCCATGCTGATAATTGCTGTCAAGTGCCTAGAAGAAATAAATGTTGTTCTCTACAGTTTTATCTGAGGCTTAAATAATATTCATAAAGTTTCAAGGAAAATTAACAATTTATAGTAAAAAGTAATTATTAAACAAGTGGGAATCATTAAAAGTATTGATATCATAATTGGATCCTAAAAGATCCAAAATTGATTTTTGAATTGTTAGCCATAGAGTGTAAAATAATGCTAATATATTTAATAAAATGAAAGCCAAAGCATGCTATTATGAGGAACAGAAATTATAAAGAATTACCAAACAAATGCAAGGAAAAATCTGGAAATTAAAGGTATATTAACTGAAGTTATTATGAATGGGTTTAACAGTTGATGAATTCTTTGTTGATCTGAAGAGATTATCTAGATAGCATCACAGGGAGAAAAAAAACAACTGAAAAGCCACGTAGGAAATACAAAGAAATCTAATACATATCTAATTGGAATTTCAGAAAAAGGGCAAAGTAATATTTCATGATAGATGGGACAGAGGAATATTTCATGATATATGGCTGAGAATTTTCTAGAACAGGTGATTAATGGAAATCCACAGAATCAAGCTTGAGGAATCCCTAATAGCTTAGATTAAAAAGAAACACTAAAAGAAATTGCAGAACACTAATAATAAAGAGAAAACACAAGACCTGAAAACCACTTATCAATTATTTGATCTAATTGACATTTATTAAATACTCCACCAAAAACAGTGAAATGCACATGAAGATCCATCAAGACAGATCATATTCTGGTGTGTGAAACAAATATCAACAGATATAAAAGACTTGAAATCATAGGAGGTCAGTACTCTGACAGTAAGATATGAGATGATCTATATGCAAAAAAAAAAATTTCAGCAATTTAAGAAATAGCTCATAAACCTAAATGAAAGAGCTAAAATTACAAAACTTTGGAAGAAAACAAAGATCTTTGTGATCTTAGGTAGACATAAGCCATAAAGACAAAAAAGTTGAATAGTGAAATTAATAACTTCTGTTGATTTCCGGGAAGATGACAGAGTGGTAAACAGCAGAGAAAGAGCCTCTCTGAGGTTTGATGAGGAGAGAAGGAAGGAGGTGGGGCCCTGGCACCTAGGAAGGATCTGAAGCAAGAATTGAAACCCACAGGGAGAGTGATGAGAGAGATTTCAGTGAAGGAGGTAGCAGGTGACACTTTCTGCCTGAGACTGGACTCACTGTGTGGGAGGGGCTGGTTGAACTTGCAGATGCACCGTGACTACTGGTCACTCCAGAGACCTCCATGGAGAAATTCACCAGTGGAACAGAACAGTGGACACAGTGAACTGCAAGGGCTGGTGAGTTATTCAGGTTCAGAACTCCCTCAGGAGAAGTGGTTGTCCAGGAGCCATCTTGAAGAGGGGCCAACTGAACTCGAAACTTAGAGCAATTGCTGGCTCCATCTAGCAGCTTCCAGTGTCAGAGTTGAGGAGCCGAGTTCAAGTCTGCAGGAGGTCAGGGAGCCAAGTTTGAGCCAGCAGGGAGGTGAGTTCAAGCCAACAGGAGGCTCACAGACTACTGCAGACTGAACAGGTCTAGCTCCAGCCTCATGGCCAGAAACCAGCCTGAACTTGAGTGGAATTAGAGATGCAGGCTCACTGAGATCATTCACTACACTATCATAAAGCTATAGCTGGGTTTCTGGGATTAATCAACTCTAATATGGATTCTGTCTGTCCGTGCTGTCTATCAGTGACAGCAGAGACACACCTTGAAGTGAATATTTTTTTCTTATTTTTTTCTTTCTCTGTTTTTGTTTTTGTTTGTTCTTGCTTTTATATGCATGAACATGATTTCTAGTTTTTCTGTTATTGTTCTATTTTGTTCTTGTTTTTATTTCTTCCTTTTCTCTTTCCTTCCTGGCTCCTTCACCAGTTTCCCAAAGTTTGTATGGTCTTCCTTTGTCCTCCAGCCTTACTTCTAATCCCTTCCTCTTCTTCTGTTTCTCTATTTTTCCTCCAAACCCCTTTTATATTTTTTTCCCCAGAGGGTAAAATTGTTATATTGAGGGCTTATTTACTGCATACAGTTTTCTAATTCTTTTTAGGTTCTGTTATATAATCATAAAATCTACTTCATACAGTTAAAGGTGGCAAATTAATAGTTACCTTGGTTTGTTATTTTCTGGCTTCTGTTTGATGCTGCTGTTATTGCTGATTGTACCACTTTAGCCAAAGTGACATAATTGTTCTAATCAGTTCTCCCTGGCAACCAAGACTGAGATTGCCTAAGAGTCTTAAAAATACTATAGGCCAGTGCCAAAGAAGCAGGGGCTAGGCCAAGTAGGCAGCAACTTCTCATCCCCAATAAATTGAAGCGGTAGGATCTTGCAACAGACTCAAAACCTAGAAGCCAGCTGCACCTGGAACACACCTCTGAGAAGTAGTCATTTCCTAAGGGTTCTAAATACTAGCAATAAAACAACTTCTCTTCAAAAGGCGCTGTGAAGAAAATGAGGTGAGATAAAGCTTGCAGAAAATACTTGTAGAACTCACATCTAAAAAAAGAGCTAATTACCAGAATATATAAAAAACCTGTATAGCTCAGTAATTAAAGACAAACCAGTTTTTAAAATGGACAAAAAATGATTTGAATTGACATTTTATGAAAGCTGTGTGGATGTTAAATGAATACATGAAAAGATATTAAGTATAATTTTTCATCTAGGAAATATAAATTAAAACCTCAGTGAATTACCACCAAATTTACTTAGAAGGCACAGTACCAACTGCTAGTGAGGATGTGGAGCAACTAGAATTCTCTTACACTTCTAATGAGTATGAAAAGTACACTGCCACTTTGGAAAATTTTTTGGCAGTTTATAATGATGAATTATATAGTCTCTCCTGTGAAAAATAAAAATATTATTTTACAAAGTGGCCTAATGTGAATGTATATAAGTAGCTTTATTAATAATTGCCCAAAATTAGAAACTACCATGAACTTCTGTGTAACAAAACTAGATAAATTGTAATACACCATGAATAAATAAATTATGCATTTATATAATAAAACACTACTCAGCAATAAAAAGGAATTAATAGCATGCAGACGTTGTAGACATTTCAAAAGCATCATAGCTGAATAAATTCAAAGATAAGGCATATACAATAGCAAAGAAATATATGAATAAATCTATATTAATTGTAAGAAATTATTGAGATAGTAAACGTTTGAACATAAGATAGAATTAAAATATACAGTAATAAACATTGGAATAAAATGAAGTTAATGAAATGAAGTTTACTTAGTGTCTGAGTTGTCCAGAAGAACAATAAGGACTTACCTATTTTAGAGTTTGATTATTTAAGGGTGTATAATGTGATTTTAAACTATTAAAAGAGTAGAAACTTGGTATGTACTTTCATACAATAGAGAAAGAACTAGAATGAAAATGGTAATTCTAAACCTATAAGCATTTAATGATATTAATTCAAAAATATTTAGAGCAATATTGCCATAACTTCAAGAATTGGAAATCCATAAGTGTACCACTGCAACATTTTTGTCCCAGTGTCATGTTAACCAAGTAGACTGTCAGGAAGGATACAGAAAATGCTTAAGGCTTGGTGTAATAGAATATAGAGAATCTTGCTTGAGCAGCTGTAGAAACATACTCTTTTCAAGCATACACAGAATGTTATAAAATTTTGATCATATGTTATAAAGCAAGTATTAGAAAATTTCAAATATTTAGTGTCACATAGACTACATTTTCTGATTGTGGTATTTTTATATTAGGAAGTGCTAATAATCTTCTACCCCAAAATAGAAAAAACCACAGATATTTGAAAACTTGATCAGATTTATGAAACATGAGAACATACGTTTTGGGGCCGGGGAGATAACTCAGCAGCACAGTGCCTGCCTTGCAAGTGCAAGGTCCTGAGTTTGATTTCTGGTACAAAAAAAAAGAAAACATACCTTTTGAACTTAATCGAACTTTGAAATATTTTATATAACTTTATAAATGAAAGATGATTAAGTATTTTACTTTATGCTTTTTGTTACAATTATTAAAAAAGGCAATCATAGACTGTTTTCAAGGAGTTTGACTTTTGTTATGTATCATATGAAAAGTCACTGAAAGGTTTTTGACAGAGGACATAATGTTCTGATTTCTATTCGAAAAGTATTCTGAATTACTGTATATGGGAGTAGACTGTAGTGGGCAAGCTTGGAAACTGGGGAAACTACAGGAAGATGACATATTAGCCTAAGTGAGAGATGATGGTGGCTTCAACTAGAATGCTGAGAAGGGGGTTCTCAAATCTCATTTACTTTTTAGCCTTTTTATTGTCTCATCTCCTTTCAAATGTATTCCATTAGGGTAAGGATTTTTTGTTACTTGCAAGTGTGTCCCTGACACCTAATAGTGTGTGTAGGTTAGAGTAGGCTCTCAAATATTTGCTAATGAATTTTAAGTGATTTGGAACTTTTATGTTACTGGTATATATTGCTTTAAATTTGACTTTTATTTTTCATTTAAAGCATGAAACAGTTGATGGCTACAGAAGATATTTCACTCAGATTGTAGGGTATGTATCTTAATATGGAACTAAGTTATTAATTTTATGTTATGCTGAATGTCAGAAATAATTATTTTCTATTTGGATTTTAAAGAACTACATGCAGTGTTGGTAATTACTGTTTTAGGTTCTTTGTGGTGGAAGATCATATTTTACATGTGACGCAAGGATTGGTAACCAGGGCATACACTGATGAACTTTGGAACATGGCCCTTTCAAAGATAATCGCTGTCCTTAGAGCTCATTCAGTAAGTCAGTAATTTATGTTACTAAAATTTTAATTCAGTTACTCCAAGAACCTCTGAGTTGCATAATGTCAAAGGAAAACTGTACCTCCATCATTCAGCAGTTTTTGGTAATTGCTCAGATCTGGAAGTAGTAATGTCAGGCTTTTGTTTGGTAATATGAAGCTGGGTTTTGCAACTGGTTGGGGCTTCCCAAGACTCTTCTATTTCAGCAATACAGAAAATGAAGACCTCATTAGTCTCAACTGACCTCTTCATTAGATCACTGAAAAGAACCATGAAGAAAGATTTTTTTAATTATCATTCCAAATTCTTTTTTTCCAAAATAAACCCCACCATTAAAACTCAATAGAACTTGTTCTTCAGTGTTTATGATTTGCAGTAATACTACGGTTACGAATTTCTTAAGATTTTTCAGTTTTCTGATTTAGAACTCATTTGAAATGATGAGCCATTTTGTAATAGGGAACTTTTTATGGTTAAAGTTAAATGATCAAATATTTCCCTAATGCCTGTTGTGGAAATAATATACATGTTAGTATTACAAAGATTATTGGAATTAATAATTGGTCAGTAAAGACTTTTCCTTAAGACAACTTTAGAGGTTGATTTTTAGTATATATCCCCGTGTTTAAAATTGTGTCCTTTTTACAAATTATGTTTTTATAATTGATGAGATTTAAAATATGTTGAGAGAATGTTAGTTTATATGACATTTAGATTATAAATATATTTTTATTTATCAATAATTTAGGTTCTTGTTATATTCACTGTCTAATGAATTACAGCTTTTTCTAACATATTAATTTAAAAACATCCTTTCTTTTGGTGCTGAAGATCGACCCAGGGTCTCACATATGCTGGGCAAGTGGTGAGGTATATCTCGAACTCAAGAATAATACATTTTATCATAGTTTGTATTCATATTATCCCTAAGTATATAAAATTTTATACATTATCTATTCATTTTGTGACATTAAGTATGAAGTCATAATGTTTAATGTAGTATGTCACATTCAAAATTAAATTAAATTCTTACTAAATGCTGTTAAAGGGACAGTAAATTTCACTACACCTTTTGACGTTAGTAGTTTTCTTTAGTTAATTACTAGGAAGTATTTAAATTGTCATTCCACACTTGATCTTAGCCAAAAGGCCGAGAAGTGATAAAATTGTCATTCTTATATGGAAAAAGTAATATACGTGGCTCTTCTGTAAGATGGAGAATCAGTTCATGTAAAATAAAAATATGAGGTCGCTATGAAAATCATTGTTTCAATTTAAAATAACAAGTTTCTTAAAATCTAAAGACTTTTAGAAATACAAGCATCCTTGTTTTGACCAGTTTTTTTTAGTGTGCATATTTCAGGAAGATATTTTTCATTGAGTACAGTTACATTTTGATACGTCATTTTGATCTCTCCCTGAAAACTTAAACTAAATAGAGGATGTGTATCTGTGTAGTGAGATTTTAATTTTATTGTACATCTGGTAGATAAAAGGAAAAACTTTAGATTCTTAATTTTTAACTAAATGACTCTTATGTTTTTGTTGTTTTGTGTTTCACCCCCATACCTACCTATCCCCTATTCCCTCAGTCTTATTGCACTGACCCTGATCTTGTTTTAGAGCTGAAGAATCTCATTGTAATTTTTGCAGATACTTTGCAGGTGAGTGTTAACTTAATATTCAGTTAATGACTGTTTTGAGCACTTAAAGAGATGCTGATTTTATTGTGGATTCATGGGTAACAAACTAGTAGCAATAAATATTTAGTTGTGTATTATTCTGTTACTCAAGATTATTCAGGCCACCTCCTTCCCAATTATGAAACTTGGAAAGAGCTCAAGAAATACTACTGTCTTTTTAAATACTGGCCATTCAGTTAGAATAAAATATTTTTGTAATTTAAAAAATTACATGATGTAGTAGAAAGAACCCTGAGCTAGAAATTAGAAGATGTAAGTTCTGTCTTAGAGCACTAAGCATGGGTTCTGAAATGACACAAACCCTGTTTCTGTTTCATCTGGGCTCTTGACAAATTGTATGCCTGCAAGTTCTACAGGCCTGAGATTCTTATTTGTGAAAATGGTGTGATACTATATACGAAAAACACATAGTTTAAAAGCTGTATATACCAATTTCCTCAAGAAAAGTTATGACAGTATTCAGGTAATACAGGCATTGGAAAAGCAGCAGTGAAGGTTATGTAAAACCTTGCAAGGTTACTTTTCTAATTCATTGCTTTGAAATAAGACCAAAAAAGACACCCATCCTTTTTACTTATTTGGAAATTCTATAATATTTTCATTTTACTGAAAATTAACAGGCTTATTTTTAGGTAGATCTTACAATAAGTTAACCAATGTTGGCTTTTTAATTTATACTTAATGAAGAATGGAGGTGTCATTTCATAAAAAAACTAATTAAAGAATGTTACATAATTTAGAGTTTTTAAACTTATTGGAACTTTTACCTTTAAATTTCAGTGTTTCATCATTTAAAAGAAAGCTGACTAAACAATAGAGTAGAAGGTAACACTACTACACTTATAGTTCTGCTTACTGCCTAGGGAACAAGTCAAAAGTAAACATTTGTTGATTTATTCACTAACACTTTTTGAGTATTCATTACTTGCTAACAGTTGATATGCAGATTGATAGGGACATAAAGTGACACAATAGGGACATAAAAATCCTTAGCTTCAAGAAATTCACAATTTAGTTGTAAACAAATAAGGTATTTGATAAGACAGTATAATATAGTAATAATAATATAGTAATATGTTAAAGAACACTGGGCTCACAGAAGGTACAGTAACTAATTTTTATTCTAAGAGTTGGAGAAGGCTATCAGGAAAATTAAAATGTAAGCTTCAAGCTCATTTTGAAGAACAAGTTCAGCAAGTATGAGAAGGAAAGGGAGTTAATGGGAGAGAAATGTGTAAACTGTAGGTAGACGTGTGTATGGTGAATGTGAGACTGGTTGAGCAGCTTGGTAATATTAAAAAGAGCAATATATGAGTGTCAGCAAGGAGTACAAATGGTGGTGAGGAAATTGTTAGGGTAGTTTGACCTAGAGTGTGTCAGTTCTTCTGAGACTTTAGTAAAGACTTTAGTGTTTTTTACCAGGGTAATGACATGATCAGGTTTATACTTTTGAGTGTGGTATTTTGAGAGTCTGGGCACCTCATTCCATTGAAAGAAACAGGTAGTGGGATTTCAGTTTAGGTCTAGAGAAGAGATGTGAAGGACCTGAAATAAAGTAATTATACTGAGAATATTTCTAGAAGAAAGGAAGATAGGTAAATGATGGAGAATGATCCATTTGAAAAAGATTTGTAAAGGAGGTGAAATGAAAAGTATTTGGTAGTTGATTAAATATGCATAGGGGAGTTTAGATGATTTTTGAGTTTATTAATAAGCTAGATTGATGATAGAACTATTATCATAAATAGGAAATACTTTTTGAGGATAATTCATGTAATGTTGCTGAAAAGAGAGACAAGAAAAGGAAAATTATTTTGGCGTCAGCAACTCTTTCTAGACCCTTTTTTTACTTAATATGCTCTAGTAGAAAGTGAAAAGGATATTTTTCCTATGCTTTTGGAATGACATACATTGTGATCTAGTGATTCCTTTCAAGTGATTATCTAGTATTCCTGACATTTTTAATGAATACTTTTTACATGAATGTCTTTTTTCTTTTTCCATATTTAGGGTTATGGTTTTCCTGTGAACCGACTTTTTGACCTTTTGTTTGAAATAAGAGATCAATACAATGAAATACTGCTTAAGAAATGGGCTGGAGTTTTCAGGTTAGTCTAAGCCATGGCCCTTAGTGTAATGAATGACTTTTGTGAAATGTTCAACTAATTGATTTTGTATATGACAATAAAATGTTTATAATCAAATTTTATGGTAAACAAACATGCAGTTTACTGTTTTAACCATTTTTAAACGTACAGTTCAGTGCTGTTAAGTGCATTCACATTGTTGCACCCATTGCTAACATCTGTCTCCGAAGTTTTTCATCTTCCTAACAGAAATTCTGTACCCATTTAACAATAACTCCCCATTTCCTCCTCCAGTTCCTGGCAACCATCATCTTATATTGTCTCTAAAGTGTGACTATTCTAAGTACTTTGTGTAAGTGGAATCATACAATATTTATCCTATTGTGTCTGGATCATGTCATCAAGGTTCATTTATGTTGTAGCATGTCAAAATTTCTTTCCTTTTAAGGCTGAATAATCTTCTACTGTATGAATATACCACATTTTGTTTCTGCATTTGTCAGTGGACATTTAAATTGTTTCTACTTTTCGTGAGTAATGCTGTTATGAGCATAAGTGTACATTTATTTGTTTGAGTTCCTGCTTTTTCAAGTCTTTTGGGGTTTATACCTGGCAGTGGAATGCTGGGTCATGTGATAAACACATCATTCTTTTTTTTTTTTTTTTTTTGAGGAATTGCCATTCTGTTTTCCATAGTGCCATTTATAGTTAACTTTTAATTATATATGTGTAATTATTTTTCTAGTAAATGATTAATACCTATAAAACTAAATGTTCAAAGATATTTTACATTAGAGAAAGATTTACAGCTTTAAATTTAAAGACTGTTTTTAAGAAAATGACTCTTGTGATTAGCCACTTGTCTGAAGGACATGTACTAAAGTATTTTAGTATTCATGAGACTCTACTCTGCTATGAAAAGAGAAATCTACTTCCTCTTTTAATTACTGAAAGCTTTCTGCCCTCCCTTCATTTTTCTTACTATCTGCCTTCTCTTCTACCTTGTCCCTCCCTTTAAACTTCCCTCCCTCCCCCCATCCCTCTCTCTCTACCGTTTCTGCCTTCTCTTTCAAAAAAAAAAAAAAAAAAGAGTAAATCTTGAAATCTACATCTAGGTTATTCAAAGTATGATACAAATAATATATCAGTAATATTTGATGACATTAAAATAAAAATGTTGACTAATTTAACACCAGCTTGGCACATAACTCCAACAGTTTTCAAAACTTTGATGATTTTTCAATTTTGTAATAGAAATATTTTGTCAGTACCTTAATGGCTTACAAGGTGATAAATATTATTTTTAAATCAACTAAATAAATCCTTATTTGAGTTTATTGTATCAGCATTCTTTGGATACTGTCAAGGCTTTCCCAAATGGATAATTGATAATACAGATGAATCAGATAACTATCATTAGCTTTTTGTATTATGTGCTTTTAAAATAGAGGTAGTGTATATTGATAGATGCAGTAATTTATAACATATATGCTGTAATGTAATGTGATGTATCTTTATACTTATGAAATCTTACATTTGGCCTCTCTGCAAAAGGATGCTTAGATTTTTATCATTGTTGATTATACTCTTATCTATTTTAATACTTCTAGCAGTGACATTGCTCCCTCAAAGGAGGGAACAGAAGTATTTTTCTCCTTCTGTCTTTTGGACATATGTTCCTCTGTCCATGAGCACACTGGAAGTCATTTTATTCATCTTTCAGGACTATGAAGTCCCTAGCTTCTAACACTTTCCATGAGACATTCCTTCACCTACTCTGATAATTGCTTCCTTCTTTGTCCTGCTTTTGATATGCATACCTTTTATGTTATATATTATAAACATTATAATTAGTTTGCATATCTGACTGTCTTGTTTGGTTCAAAAATGTGGATATTTTATTTTTATGAGGTAGAGAGTTTTCATCACAGTTAAAAGTGTAGTTCATAATTGGTGTCATATTAAACAGAATTATAGGTTGTATGAGGTAATGATTAAACATCAGATACTTTAGGACAGACAAGATTGTGCTTCAGCAGCAACAGCAAAAATTCCCCAAAATCTCAGTGAGTTAGTCATTTTCTCACTCATAGAGAAGTCTACAAGTAGGTCTAGTAGTCAGAGAGCCAAGCTGTTTGCATTAGTAATTCTCCTTCTCAACACATTATCTCCCTTTTCACCATGGGAAGGAGGGTTACATAGTTGGCTCATACAAATGCTTTTATAGGGGGCTGGGGATTTAGCTCATCGGCAAAGCGCCTGCCTGGCAAGCGCAAGGTCGTGAGTTCAGTTCCCGGTACCGGAGAGAAACCAAAAAAAAAAAACCCAAATGCTTTTATATTCAAAGCGATATAGTGTATTCCTTCTATTCATAGCCCAGTGGCCAAAACTAGTCATGTGGTTGCCTGTGAGGGAGCCATGTAGGAGAGCACATGAATATGTGATAAATAAATGGCTCCTGCCTCACTAACTATAAAAGTTCCTTTTCTCATCATAATGTTATGAGAGATTAAATAAATTTAACATACTGTTATGCTGTTTAAGAGCTTATAGCCTTAACAACAATTTGAAAATTGTCCCTATCAAGAAATCTAAGTGAAATACTTCCCATGTTATGGATTTATTTTTAGTTACTGATAATGAGCTTGTTCAAACTTTTATCATCTTGAGAATTGTTCTAGACCAGAAAAGTAAAATTTAAGTACTGAGAGGCTATAAAACAAACTAGTGGAAAGATGAAATTATACATGAACTTTGAGAGCTAAGACTTAATTGATACTGAATTTTAGAATTCTAGAGGATTAAACAGTGTTTATCTACTTGGACCATTAATTGGCAAATGAAGTGTTTTTGTAGGAGTTGGGATTTTTATAGATACTACTTTATAACACTCTAATGATATATTTTGTAATAATAAGTTTTCAATTCCCCTTTCTTAACAGGGACATTTTTGAAGAAGATAATTATAGCCCCATCCCTGCTATCAGTGAAGAAGAATATAAAATAGTCATCAGCAAATTTCCCTTTCAAGATCCAGATCTTGAAAAGGTACATGCTGGGTTTTAAAATTTTTCTTAAGGAATTTCATTATTTTTAGTACTACATAAAGTTAAGCTGACATTGTAAGTTATAATGACTTTTTGGGATAATATAAATATTAATATAATAAAATAACTATATTTTGTTCACTTGTAAAGATTAATGCTATTTTTACTACTACTGTTTTGATGAAATTAAGAAGGGATTTTCCTGGGGATATTAGAAGCATTTGTTCTAAATGTTAGGTGGATTCCTAGGACAAGTGTTGGGTGGGTTCCAAATTAAATATATTAAATGTTGAGTAGATTATAGTAAGAAGAGTATATTTTGGGGAAAGAATTTCTTTGAAATAGCCATTACTATAGAAGATTTTTTTGACTTTTAAAAAATAGTATATTTCTATAAAAATATGTAAGTCTGTTTTCTGTTTTTCTTACTTGATTAAGTAAGAGATATATATGAAGTAACAGCTACCTGCAGACTTCTTATGGAAATAGGAATGCATATTTTTGGAGTCAATACAGCTGAACAAAAGAAAGGATAGAGAAAGAAACTACACCAGTGTGTGGATATTCTGGGATGCCCATGAGTGCACATATATGTACATACGTATACACAAGTATGTACAGTTGTACCTATCTAGTATTTCTAGGAAGAATCAGATCTTCTGGAAAAAGAATATTATATTTCCCACAACTATTACATTTTCCCTCTTTTTTCTTATTTTTCAAACTGTTTATAATTTAATTGTTTTCTACATTTTTATTCCTGAATGAGCATGACTGAATTATGTGACATGTGACTGTAAATTTTTGTCATTTCTATGTATAAATAGCCATATTATGTATAATAATTATTAAATACAGAGAAAATTAACAGCATAGCTTTTGGATTTTAGCTAATACTGCCGTTGATATATGTCCCTGTTATCTGTATTTTCATGCCCAAAAGAGACCAGAATAATTCTTCTTCTGTTTTTTTTTTTTAAGACAGGGTCTCACAATACAGTTCAGGCTAGTTTTGAACTCACTATGTAGTTCAGGCTGGCCTAGCGCTTGAGGTGATCATCCTGCCTTAGCCTCCCGAGTGCTGGGATTACAGGCATGGACTACCACACCCAGCTCAGAATAATTATTCTAACATTTTGAAATCCTAATCAGAGTTGTCCCTATTAAAAAATATTACCAGAATATTTTCCATTTTATGGCTTGGTGTGTTTGTTTGTGGTTCTAGTTATTAGTAAGGAGTTTGTTCAGGCTATAGTATCATACAGCATGGGACCAGAGTGGATTCATGCTGGGTCTGTTTGTGGCGTACTATAGCCAAGTAACTTACCTTATTTCAGCATTTGTACCTCTCCTGTTAAAAGAGGAGCTTGAACTAGATAATCTTTAGTGTCCCTTCCAGTTATGCTCAATTATTCTAGATAGGTTTATAGTTTAAAGGAAGTTTAGCTTTGCTTATAGGAGCTTCCAGTATATGCAATACCCCCTTAGGACTAAACTCCTAATTTAGAAATTATATACATTGGTCAGTATTTCTGCAGGCAGAAAGTCTGTAATCCTGCAGTATAAAGTACAAGGTTAATGAAATTAGGAGAGGAATATAAAAAATATAATTAGAGAAGTTGAAAGGGCCAACCATAATGGCCGTTGTACATAATTGGAGATGGTAAATTGTTGGAGAGTTTAGCCTTTTTTTTTTTTTTTTGTCTTTTTGAGACAGGGTCTTGCTGTGCAATTCAGGCTGGTCTGAAACTCATTTTATAGCCTAGCTGGCCTCAAACTTGGAATGACCATCCTGCCTCAGCCTCCTGAGTGCTGGGATTATAGGCATGCACCACTGCGCCCAGCCCTTAGCCTTTATTTTGAAGGCGATGACAAGCCACCAGAAGGTTTTAAGCAGAAAGAAAGAACATAATGAGATTTGTGCTTTAGTAATATCACTCTGGCTGATATAGGTAGAATGGATTAAAAAAGAGTAAAACTGGTGAGACCAGCTAGGATATTTTTGCAGTTACTCTGATGGATAGGGGGTATGGTCATGGAACTTAATTTAGGAGATACTTGGAATAGTGAAACAACAGGAGTTGTGATTATTTGCATGTCAAGGATAAGGGAGGTAAAGATTTGCATATCAGGTATAATAAGCAAGTTTCTGCCTTCAGTGGTGGTCACATGATTCACTATGTTGGGAAATGTAAGAGGACAAGAGTTGAAAATATTTATTCCAGTAGTAGAATGCCTGAATTGGGTTGGAGATAAAGCTCAGTGTTAGAAGATGAGTTTAACATGCACAAAGTGTGGGCCTAATCCCCTGCACCAAAAACAAAACACAAAACAAATAAAAGACAGAAAAAGGATAAGTGCATGAATATGGAAAACATTAATGATTAGTATACCTGTTTTGTCAAATTTTGCTTGATTTGCCATTTTTTAAAATACAGAATAGTATTTGCGCTTCATAGATTTTTAAGAGTAGGGGCCAGTTATGTTAGATACTTCAGAGAAGTTAGATTAACATGAAAAGCTGCAAAACTCCATTGGATTTATAATTAGGAGGTCATTGATGACCTTGTTGAGTATTTTTATTAGTATAATAAGGTTGTCATGAATGTGATGATAGAGTAGATTAGACTTCATAAAGCATAAACAAGGGACCTTTGGATTAAAATCTTGAATTTTAACCTTTTAGAGACTGAGAATTTTCAATATTTGCTAATAAAGCAGTCTAGCCAAGAGGTGCACTGTAAATAGTTGGCTCCATAGTCAAGTTTGATGGTATAGTGTTTGGAAAGCTGCTGTAAGATTTTTTTCTAAGAGTTTTGGAGAGAACTGAGTGTCTTCTTGAAATGATATCAAGTGTCCAGTGAAGCTAATAGAAGGGAGTATTCAGTAATTCTGAGACAAGACACTGAGTATAACTTTCATGGTCACCTTGACTCTTATATTATGGATAGAAAGAAGCAGGCATCTCCTACAAGGCCTGCTCATCATCAGAATACAAAGAGGTATTGTTAATGCTGTCTCTGCTTGTTTAGTCTAATGATATGATTTAAAAATAGTATTCACTTGCAACATAATTTTTTCAGAAATATTTTTTATTTCTTTAAAATAGCAAAAATAATATAGAAATATAACAATAAAATTTGGGCTGGGGATTTAGCTCAGCAGCAAAGCGCCTGCCTGGCAAGCACAAGGTTGTGAGTTCGGTTCCCGGTACTGGAGAAAAGCAAAAAACAAAAAACAAAAAAACAAAAACAATAAAATTTTTGCTGAATTTACTGTTAATTGAAATGTGAAATGAAATTACTTTTTTTTTTTACGTTTTAAGTGATTAGACATTTTTCTGAAAATTTCAATAACAATACTAACTTCCTTTTTCTACAGCAATCTTTCCCAAAGAAGTTTCCCATGTCTCAGTCAGTACCTCATATTTACATTCAGGTTAAAGAATTTATTTATGCCAGCCTTAAATTTTCAGAATCACTACACCGGAGGTAAGTTTATTAAGAAATATGTCTTTTAATATGAGTTTTATTAAATTAACACTTAATTTTCATATTATGATTCTTTAATGGGTTATCATCTTATTGGAAAGGCTTATCTATGTCAGACATATTTAAGGTTAAGTTTCTATAAATTGAATACTGTCTTTGTTTTGTTTTGGTTTTTTGTTTGCTTGTTTGTTTTTTGGTAACAAGATCTCACCATGTAGACCAGGCTGGCTTTGAACTTGCAGCAATCCTTCTGCCTCAGCTTCCCATTTATCTGATATCATGAGGGTAATACTCTATATTTATGGAGATAGAAAATGTGATACTGTCCCTATTTGTTCATAAGGAAACTTAGGCTCAGAAAAACTAAATCATTTGTTTAGAGTGACCTAGCTGGATGAGTTGAGAATTGGGTTGAAGAGCAAGACTCTTAAGACTCTCTTATCAGTGAAAGTACTTGGCACAGTAACTGACATATAATTAATGGTAGCGGAACGTTAATCTTTTTTGCTACAATTTGTTTCAGCTGTGTACACGTATCCTGCATTTTACTCATGTGATAGATTTACTTTTCTTTCCTGCTCCTTTTCCTTCTTTCTTTCCTCCCCTATACTGCAGATTGAACACAGGGCCTCCCATGTCGTGCATTTCTGATTGTGAACATTCTCTGAAAGACTGAGTCGTGATACTAGCTTTCATAATGTCACCTTCTTTGAAATCCATTCTTCTGAATTATAATACCAAATAACAGAAAATGTCTTTATTCAGTGGGAAACTATATTGACTTTTAAGTAACAAAATGTAATAAAGATAGAACATTTATTTTTCAGTAATGAGAACAATAACAGTTACAGTACATATTTTATCATATCTGTCTCTTTTTGTAATGTACTGTTATTTTGGATTTATACAAGGCATAAATAAATTGAATAATAAATATATGTCTGCGAGGGTTGGGGAGTATCTGATTTTAGGTCTTTGTTTTTCCTATGTGAATAGAGATTTTTAAAAAGATTATTTAATTCTTGTTTGTGAATAATATGGATAGGAGAAGAAGGGAAGGCAAATATCTAATACATAGCATATATTGTGCTATGTGGTTCCCATAAGCCAGTGGTTCTCCAAGTGTACTCTGGTCAGCAGCATCAGCATTACAGAGGAAATTACTAGAAATAGTACCTCAGACGTACGAATTAGAAACTGAGCGTGAGGCCCAGGGTTTTGCCAGCTACCGTGGATGATTCTGATGCATGCCAAAATTTAAGAATTTTCTATTAGCTACTTATATCAAAATCTTTAAAGAGTACTCCACTAGCCACTTATACCAAGTTTCATCGTACTCCATTAACTACTTATACCACAGTCTCTAAAGACATTAGTTTTAGATACTACAAGATACACAACATAATCTAGCTTTTGAAAAACAGTGAATTCAAATGAGTATAGCTGAAAAGGAATAACATAAAATGATTTGTATTAAAATGATATATTTCCATAGTGGATATATTTTGGGCCGCAAATAGTTGAGTCACCAATAATTTATCCCTAACTTGTTTTTCATTTTATGTTCTCTTACGTTCTAAAATACAAGTAAGGGGTGGGGATGAGGCTCAGTGGTAAAGTGCTTCTCTAGCCTGTACAAAACCCTGAGTTTAGGGGCTGGGAATATAGCTCAGTGGCACAAGCGCCTGTCTAGCAAGCTCAAGGTCCTGAGTTTGATTCCCGGTACCAAAACAAAACAAAACAAAACAAAAAAACCAACCCTGAGTTGCTGCTTACACCACAAAAATAAGTAACTAATGAATAAAATAAAAGAGGCAGTATAATGCATAAGAACATAAGCTTTAGACTCTTAGTTTGTTTCTTGATGCAGTCATTAATTGAAGTAGGATCTTGTACAATTTAAACTGCAATTTTCTCATCTATAAAATGAAGGAAACATTTTGTGTGGTAGTTGTAAGAATGAAATGCGGTAATATAGTAAAACACTTGACATAGTTCCTGGCATATGGTGGGCTCACAGGGCTTATGAAAACAAGGGATGCTGCAATAATAGATGTGAGACAGGAAGTGTTTTTGTTTGATTTTGAAAGCATTGGGGGAAGATTAGAGTTAGAGTTCATAGGAAGATAACTGGAAAATCTTGCTGGTACAAATGGGATAGAGTACTGACAGATTTTCTTTCTCTGCTTTTACTTATGAAGAATAAGTATACATTGAAATGCAGGGCAATTAAATAAAAGAGAGTATCTGAGTAACTTTTCATCAGAAGGATTCTATACAGAGTGTCTAATACACAATTTGAATGTGTCAGAAAAGAAACCAGAGGAGTTGGCAACCAGCTGCCTTTTATCAAGGTGTGTAAATTGCTTGTTCTAGGGACTCATCGATGGGCTAAAATTTTCTCTTTGAGTGTTTGATGACACATAACCCTGAAATCCTACTGGTGGTGCTCATTTCTTGGGATATCGTGAATCTAGATATACGAAACCAAAAAGAAATATTTTCCTTGGGCCTGCTGGAATTAGGATTAGCAGAAATAGAATGCCTGCATTGGGGTTGGAGATATAGCTCAGTGTTAGAAGATGAATTTAACATTCACAAAGTGTGGGCTGAATCCCCTGCACCAAAAACAAAACACAAAACAAATAAAGAAAAAGGATAGCTGCATGAATATGGAAAACATTAGAGTAATGTCTGAGGCAGTAGTGCTAAATTAGGGATAGTTTTGGATTCTCTTGATAGCACTATCCACATCCCCCATTTGGCAATGTCTAAAGACATTTTGTTGATCACAAGTGGGGTTGCAGATGGGGAGAGTTGCTACTTGAAATTAGTAGGTGGGGTCCAACGATGCTGCTTAACATCCTAGATTTTACAGAACAGCCTTCATTGCAAACAGTTACCCAACCTGAAATGTCAGTGTGGCTGAAATTGAGAATGCATGATCTAAGGACAGTTTAACTGTTTAAATAATGGTTCCATTCAAGAAATCATTATTCATTTAAGTTGGAGGCCTGGTGCTTACAGGAAAAGATTTAACTTTTTAGTGCTAACTTAGCGATCTTCAGGTGGTAAGAAGTACTGTGGAGTTTTGTGCACCAAATGAAAGTTAAAGATAATTTATTTTTTATGTCTTTTAAAATCATAATGGAAATGGATAGTTTAGTTATATTAAAAATTATATCTGGTAATTATAGGTACCAAAGATCACATCAGCCAGGCGTGGTGGTGTATGCCTGTAATCCCAGCACTCAGGAGACTGAGGCAAGAGGATTGCTGTGAGTTCAAGGCCAGCCTGGGCTACCAAGTGGGTTGAAGGCCAGCCTGAACTGCATAGTGAAACCTTGTCTCAAAAAGACAAAAAAAAAAAAAAAAAAAAATCACATCAATTCATATTTTAAAAGTAATTATTAGCTTTAGCTATATATGAGATATTTTGCTAAGTAACTATCCCATGATGGAGTCAATGATTTAAGAATAGCTTTATTTTCTTGTACTAAATTACATCATAAGGTTTTTCTGTAGGATTGATTGAATACATTTAAATTATCCTGTAAATCAACATTCTACTTTATTGAAAATGTGCCTTTTTAGAAACTAAATTGAAGTTCATGATTTAGTATTAGTTGTAATTTAAAGGTATAAAATAACAATTTAGAACAAATTATTTTAATAAATTATATTAAATTATCTAGAATATTAAGTCTACCCTTGAAAAGTTTAATACCATCAACCTTTGTTTTTAGCTCAACAGAAATAGATGATATGCTTAGAAAATCAACAAATCTGCTGCTGACCAGAACTTTGAGTAGCTGTTTACTGAACCTCATTAAAAAACCACATATAGGTTTGACTGAGGTAGGTTAAGAAGATACATCATTCTATAAAACTGTCTTATATGTTTTATTATATGAAAAATTACTGTAAGTTATTACTGAATACCATCCTATAAAACTAGGTTTGTACTATAAGCAGAGTTTTAAAAAATTTAATCACTGGTTCAAATTGAAGAAGTGTGGGAAAGGGTATAACATGGGAAATAGATAGTTGAAGATATGAAAATATATATTTAAAATTCTGATTGACATACTTGGGGAGGCAAAATCCACATTTTGTGCTTGTTAAATATATAAGATATGAAAAGTTGTACTAAAATAATTGGCAGACGCTTTGTGTATTTATATATATTTTAAATGATGTTACCATTCATAAATAGTATTTGCAGCAGACTTGAAATCAGATAATCATTTATATCATGTCTTGCTATAATTATGCAGGAGTGGTACAGTTGCTAGAGGTAATAATCCTGTTTTTAGTAACCAAGAAGTGTCACATAATGTATAGCTTTTACTTTACTGGATATATTTTGTATTTTCTAGCTAGTACAAATCATCATAAACACAACACATTTGGAACAAGCTTGTAAATACCTTGAGGACTTTATCACTAATATTACAAATATTTCTCAAGAAACTGTTCATACTACAAGACTTTATGGGCTTTCTACTTTTAAGGTATGTAAAAATCTGACCAAGGGGCTGGGGATTTAGCTCAGCGGCACAGTGCCTGCCTGGCAAGCGCAAGGTTGTGAGTTTGATCCCTGGTACCGGAAGAAAAACGACAAAAAATTAAAAAAATAAAAATGTGACTGAAATTTTTCATTTCATTTACTATAAGCAAACATTTAAAATTTATAGATAATTTTTACTGCATGCAAGATTCTACTGCATTCCTAAACATTGAGAATTAGAGATAATCCTTACCCACAATGAGGAAATAGATGTCAGTTCTTTTTCATTATTTTTAAAGATCTTATTAAAATATATTAATTTTCTACAACATTATGTTTTGTTCATGTTTTAACAACAAGTGGTAGTGCCAAATCAGTGAAGCTGAATTTCCACTAATATTTCACAGTTCAATATTGAACGAATTTAACATTAACACTTATCTAGACTTCGCAAGTATGAAATCCAGGAAAGCATGTGAACTAAGCCTAGTTTATATGAGTTGTTTCAACACATTCATGATGGGGTCTAGTTTGTATGTCTTACTGCAGGGTGGCTCTGAACCATCAATGATACTGTCCCAATGGGACAGTCATGCATGTACCACTGGTGGCCCAAAATGGCAGGAACATGTTAAAAATAAGTGCTTCTTAATTCAGGAGAGCAATTTTTTAATATAGTTTTTTTAAAGTATACTAGGTGTCCTGATTGTAGTGTGTAGCATTTATGATATGTGATTGGAAAATACAGTGAATTTTAAATTTAAAAAATTTAAAGAAGTTATTTCTGCCTTTACTTGGTAGGAGTTGTGTGTACATAATGCCATTGACAGAAAATAACAACAGTAAATATAGAATGATCATAGCAAAATAGTCATAGTTTCACAATTCAGTACAAGAGGGAAATTTAAAAATTCATAGAATCTTCTTAAGGAATTTTTGTTTGTTTGTTTGTTTGTTTTGTCTTTTTGAGACAAGGTCTTGCCATGCAGTTCACACTGGCCTTGAACTCACTTTGTAGTCCAGGCTGGTCTCGAACTCACAGTGATCTGCCCGCCTCAACTTTCTAAGTGCTGGGTTTACAGGTGTGCACTACCACACCTGGCTTCTTCCTAAGGAATTTTAAAATTTGCCTCTTAGTTTCTTCAGTGACACACAAATAGTTCAAAAGTGAATTATTTAATTTCCACGTGTTTGTATACCTTCTGTTGTTTCTCTTGTGATTCATTTCTAATTTGATTCCATTACAGTCTGACAAGATGCAAGAAATTATTTCAGTTTTTTGTATTTGTTAAGACTTCATGGCCTAAAATACGATCCATTTGGGGGAATGTTCTATGAGCTGAAAAAATGTGTATTCTGCTGTTGTTAGACAAAATGTCTGTAGATGTCTGTTAAATCCATTTGATCTGTAGCATAATACAGTAGTACCTCGGTTCATGAACACTTAGGCCACAGAAGTATTTGACAGAATTTTGGTTTTGTTTGTGTGCTCTGCATTGGGTGATGAACACAACCATGGCCATCTTTCCTGGGTGAACATGAATGTGACCCACCTTTCCAGAATTCTGGAACAAATTAAGTTTTTGAACTGAGGTACCATTGTATAACTCTGTTGTTTGCTGATTTTTTAAAAAACTAGATGGCTTACCTATTGGTGACAGTGGAATATTGAAGTCACCCAGTATTATTGTATTGGGCCTCAGTATCCCTTTATGAGTGTTTGTTTTATAAAATTGGGCAAACTGATGTTTGGTGCATGTGTATTTACGCTTATTACATCTTCATAGTAATTGTTCCTTTTACCAGTACATAGTAGCCTTCTTTGTCTCATCTAATTTTGTTTTGAAGTCTGCTTTGTGGGATATGTCTGCTTTGTGGGATAAGTACCGCTACTGCTGCTTACTTTCAGATTTCTATTTGCATGGAATATCCTTTTCTGTCCTTTCACTTTCAGTCTGCATATCTACTGGTGAGGTGTGTGTTTTGTAGGCAGTAAAGGATTGGGTCTCGTTTTTTAAACCAGTCTACTAGTCTGTGCCTTTTAAATGGAAAATTAAAACCATTTACATTCTGAATTGTTAGAGAAGTGTATGTACTGATTCCTCATTTTGTTGTTCTATAGTGTTTAATTCTTTCTTAATTCTTGTTGGCTTATATACTCTTCTTCCCTCTGTAGGATTCCTTTAAGTATGTTCTACAGTGTTGGCTTAGTGGTCATGAATTCCTTTAGTTTATACTTACCTGGGAAGGCCTTTATTTCTCTTTCAAGTCTTAATGATAGTTTCACTGAATATAATAATCTAGATTAGTAGTGGTTTTCCTTCAGTGCTTGAACTGTATCATTTCATGCCCTCCTGACTGTCAGTTTCTTCAGAGAAATCTGCAGTTATAATGGGTTTGTCTTTATAAGTGACTTGGAATTTCTCTCTTGCAGCTTTTAATATTATTTCTCCTTTTTGTATTCTTGGCATTTTAATGATAATATGATATAGAGAGTTTTTTTCTGGTCATGCCTGTTTGGTGTTGTCCTAAATGCCTCCTGTCCTTGGATATCCGTATCTTTGCCAAGGTATGGGAAGTTTTTGCTATTTTTTACCAAATAGATTTTCTTTGCTTTTAGGTGCTTGATCTCTTCTATACCAAACATTTATGAGTTTGGTCTTTTAACTTTTTCCCAGAGTTTTCTATATTTTGTCTACACTTTATTTTTTCTTTTATTTCTGAGTGTGATAGTTTATCGACCTTGTCTTTAAGCCCTAAAATTCTGTTTTCTGTTTGATCTAGTCTGGTAATATTTTCCTGAATTTTTGACTGGACTTGTTGAGGTCTTTATGTCCAAGATTTCTGTTTGATTATTCTTCAGAATCTCTATCCCTTTGTTGTATTGTTCCTTCATATGGTGAGTTGTCTACCTTAATCCATTTCACTCTTTATTTGTATTGTCTTCATTTATTTTTTGGTCTTTTTGAGACAGGGTCTCACTATGCAAATCAGGCCGGCCTTGAGCTCACTTCGTAGCCTAGGCTGGTCTCAAACTTGCAAAGATCCTCTTGCCTCAGCCACCCAAGGGCTGGGATTACAGGCATGTGCCACCACGCCCGGCTATTTGTATTGTCTTTGAAGTCATTGATGATTTTAAAAATCAGTCTTTTAAATTCTTTCTGTTGGAGTTTATCCACTGTGATATCTAAAATCAATCTTTTATTCTTTCTGTGATATCTTTATATTTAGTTACTGATGCATTATGGACCTTTAAAGGAATCATGCTGCCTTGTTTTTTCAGACTTATGTTTTCATGTTGAGATTTTTGTATCTGTTAGGATGGAATCTCTTCAACTTTTATGTGAGGGACTTTTTAGGGACTAGTCTTCTTTTGAGGTCATGAGAGGAAAGAACTGCCTGTAGTTATGATGATGACACACAGACAAACCAGATATTGAAATACAGTAAAAGACAATTTAAAAGCAGAAGCTATACCACCATTAACAATAGAAAAGAAAGGAGCAATAATAATATAGAGAAAATTAAAAGGGTAAAAATTAGTGAATTGAAAAGTATAAAATAGAGGGGTGAGGAAGGAGAATAATAAAAGAAACAGAAAGATTTAACATTTTTTTTTTCTTTTTCTGTTTGGATTTTTGAGACAGAGTCTTGCTACATAGTTCAGGCAAGCCTTGAACTCATTTCATAGCCCAGGGTAGCCTCAAACTCATGGAAGTTCTTTCTAGGTCTCCTTAGTGGTGGGATTATAGGCATGTGCCCTCACACCTGGCCTTTTAAGACTTTTAGAAAAGACTTTTTATTAAAAATAATTTTTTTATAATTTTTTTTTGTCCTGTTACTTGTTACTATCTTTTATTGTTTGATCAAGCTTATAGTCTTATGTCTAGTGAACTGAGCAACTTCGTTGAAGATAACAGTATGTAATATAGCAAATTGGAAATTTCTATCATTTTGTTTTGAGGTCATGTATCATTTTTGTTGTTTTTGTATTGTTTTGATTTTATCTTCATAGTTGTTTTGTCAGTTTTTAAATTTTTAAAATAAAAAAAAATGGCAGGGCAATGTGGGAGGGAGTATTTTGAGGGAGATTAATGGCAAAGCGTCTTTTACCTTAATAAACTTTTTAATTTAAACATTAACCATAAAAAATAAATAAATAAAAGACTTTTTAAAAAAAGAACAGCTTAGATAAGAGGAGAACAGGGTGAAGATAAAAATCTAAAGAATAAAAAGAGTAACTACAATTAGATCAGTAATAAGAAAAAAGAACTAAAAAACCCAATTAAGGAATTAAAATAGTAAATAAAATTAGATAAACGTACAAGAAAAATAAACAAAAAAATAAGAAGAATTTTAAGAGAAAAAGAAAAAATAATGGAAACTTGAGACCATAAGAATCCTTCGTGCTGAGTTGTTTGGATCAGTAGTGTTTCTTTCTAGGACTTCTAGTATTGGAATCACCTTCTGTGGGATAGGGAAAGACAGCCATACCTGGGGCCTCTTAGATTTTCTTTCTATTCCTACTTAATGAACCGGTTGAAGCTCTGTGAAAGCGGAGTCTTTGCTGCCTTTCTGGCAAGGTCCTTCAATGGTATAGTGTCTGCCTCAGTACTGAATCCACTCTAGAGGATTTTAATCTTATTTATTTATTTCCTTTCAGTGCACTTGGCATTGCTGCTATCCCTAACTAGTTCTGCAGCATATTGCCTGGTGAGGCACTCTACTCACTCCAGAGGCCCTCCTGTCTGTGGGCTTGGGAGCATGGGAATATCATTAGAAAGTATGGAAGGCAAGCAGACCACTACATGCTGTGCTAGAGGGAGGCAGTGTGTGTGTGTGGCAGAGAGGGAGTGTCCAAATAACCTGCAAGCTTGATACGGACTTCTTCAGACCCAGAAAACTACAGAGCAACAGGTCTGACTTCTTACTACAGAGGATGATGCTGCTGACCACAGTGCCCTCAACAGCCTAAGCTCCCCACTGATTAAACTTTTCCAGGGA